TTTTCTCAGTTTTAATGCATGTATCCAATTACAACTTAAAAATCCTACCTCCTAGCATTACAAATAGAGAGTTTTGGTCCATATTTGGGGGAATTGAAGGGGGAGAACGGCCAGAGACCACTACTTTCTCATATTCTACATTTTTAGGAGTAGATTAGAACAAAGAGAACTAGAGTTTGGCTATGAACATCTTTATTTCTCTATTGAGGGCAACATCTAGCAAATTCTCTACTCAAGCCAAAGATTGAAGTATTTATCCCAACGATTGTGAGACCACATTTGATCTTTTCAATTTTTGATTTGCAATTTATCATTCCTTGATTTTATTCTATGTTGATGCATGTACGGTTGAGTAAGTGGACAATTATTCTCTCTACATGTATTCTTCATGCCAAAATACTAATTTTGATCCAAAATTGTCTTCTATTAGTATTTCTATATGGAAAATAAAGTTAATAATTGGTTGTCCCCTTTTGTGAATCTTTAGGGGAATCATGGTGTTGATTAAATAACTTCATGTGTCATGGGGTATTGTCATTTTTGACTGATTTTTGATTCTTAATGCTATTATTAGAGTAATTCGGGATTGCGTCAATATCTAGGTTGTCTAATAATAAGAATATAATTTGAGTGCATCATTTTGTGTTGAATTTAGAGAGTTTGTAAGTTATCACTGGCATTTGGAGTAACTTAAGCCAAATAGTTGATTAAATGTTGAATTTTTAGGAGTTGACGATCAATCAGAATAAAGGTCTTCATGTCCTTGGTTTGGCTTGTTATTTATTATTTTATCATCTATTTTCATTATTATTGTCTTAATTCTATTTTTTAGTTATTTCAATTTACTTTTCAGTATTTTAACAAAGGAGATCAAAGTTTCAACTGTTCTCTATGGGTTCAACCTGGACACCCACTACTACAAGTTTGAGTTTCTAATAATTAAATTTTGACACCCGTGACAAGTGTTTATTTTACTAGTCCAAACCAACTTTTACAAGTCTCATACTTTTACATTTCATTTAGCAAACTATACCATACTACAGTTAATTCAATATAACGACACTATAAGGGGCGCTTGGTTCAAGTTTAGAAATTGGAATTGTATTTGGAATTGCATCCAAAATTCAGTATGGGTTTTGATCAAAAGTATCATTACAATGACTAGTATATATTTATAAGGTTTTGGAATCAAATTATTTTTCATTTTCTTTTCTTTATTTTTTCTTCTTTCCCTTTTCTTGCTTCCTTCTTCCCAGTCTTTAAGTACTTATGCTTCACCATATTCTCTTGAACCAACACTTGATCATCACCAATCAACCTTACAATCTAAGGAGTATGGAAAAGTGACTGACAAGAGATGAGAAAAAGGCTTACACAAAAAGAAAAAAAAAGAGAGGAGAGAGAACCAAACGGAAAGGAGCGGCTTGATGTGGAGTATTAGAGGAGAGAGGAAGAGAGTGAAGAGAGAAGAAAAGAGAAAGTGAGAGAGATTGACAAGAAAAGAAAGAGAACCAGATGAGGTGGGCTACTGCCATGGAGGATTAGAGGAGAGAGTGAATAGAGAAAAAAGAGAGAAAATGGAAAGTGATGATGAAAGCCTGCTGTGGAAGATGGGATGAGAGAAAAAAGATGAAAAAGGAAATCTGATGGTAAGACACTGCCGTGAAGGTTGGGCCGGCGTGATAGAGTGATGAAAACGATCTATTTTCTTTTCTTTTTGAAGTTTCCGAGTCCAATTGAGTCAAATTTAGAAATCTACCAAAATCCCTCCAATTTGTTGGGCATTAAGAACTCTCAAATTTTAATGATTCGCTCAAACATTTTGAATCCAATACATGTAACCCCAACAACAAGAATTTGAATTATTTCAATTCCTGATTCAGATCCCCTTTTACCAAACAGCACCTAAAATTTCTCACCAATTATAACTTACAAAGAAAGTCTTACAATCAACAATTACACACACACACACACATATATATATATATACATACTTTTTTTAATTTGTAATTGGTTTATTAAAAGCAGTTGCGTATGAGGAATTAAGGAGTATGCAGTAGAAAGTAACATTTAAACACAGAGCTCAATGGGCTTGACCTCGGGCTGCTTCTCTTCCACTTTAGGCAGAGTCACATTTAGAACTCCATTTTCCAAGCCGGCTTTCACCTCAGCCACCTAGGCATTCTCCGGCAACCGGAATCTTCGGAGGAACTTCCTGCTGCTTCTCTCCAGATGGTGCCACTTGTCATTCTTCTCCTCCTGTTCCTTGCTCCTCTCTCCACGGATTTGTAGAATCCTTCCCTCCTCAAGTACCTCAACCTTGACTTCCCCCTTTTTCAGCCCTGGAACATCAGCCTTGAACACATGGGCTTGTGGGGTCTCTTTCCAATCAATCCTTGCATTGGCAAATGCTGTGGTTTCACCAGCTGATGTGGGAAGATTAATAAGAATAGAAGAGGTAAAGAATCCACCGAATGGATCCCACATAACGAGGGAGAAGGCATCAAACACATTGGTTTTTCTGCCTCCAAAGACGATTGGAATCGGAGACATCTTTCTAGTTAATATGTGATAAGCAGAATTAATTTCAATGCAAGAAAAATAGCTATGAAGAAGGAATTGGATATTAATTTATATGTCTGATGGATGAAGGAAGGGAGATTTAAAGCATGATATTTACAGTCCAGGGGAACGTAGTCTAGAGTCTAGACTTGGCTAGTGTGACTATTACTAATAGAATATTGGAAAATGGAATTAAAATAAATGAGACCAAGATGATGGTTCGCGGTTTTGGTTGTTCCATATTCGTCGCGGCATATCGGTTGAATATCGAGTGATATGCATATTATAACATATAAAAATTTTCAAAAAATTTGAAAAAATTACTAAAAATAAAAAATGCCATAAAAGATATAATTTAAAAAAATATCCGAGTCAACTCGAATATTTTGATCGATTCCATACATCACAGATTCGAATCGGCCAATATTGATCGAATCAGAATGAGTCGGAGTCATGGGGATATGAAATTATTGACGATTCGAGATTGGTATCGTACCGATTCCTCCGTTCCGGTTATAACTTGGCTGAGATGGCTAGCCATGATCAAGATGGTTCTGGTACTTTCATGGAGGCTGATCTACTTGAGCACCATGCTTCTCCCTCGAGAATCCCATAAGATCCACAGGAGATTGCTTCCATATCTGTAATCTTCTACCATATTCCTAGCTGATATTACTATATGTCATTTGTCACTTCTTCAGCTGCCTACATTTCTAGCATTATGAGATTTGCAGTAGTATTGAACATGATTATTGAGCTGGGGGTTCCTTATATTTCTAAAATTATATTGCAGTTTGCCACTACACAGCTTCCAACCTTTAGTTAATTGCATAATTGATGTGGACTGAACTAGTGGTACAGTCACCCAAAAAAATAAAAAAACTGAAAGATTGGAACTAATAGTAAAAATGGACATACTTCTTCAGCTCATGAAGTAGGTTTTAAGCTTAACAATATTCTTTGTTGTTGCCCCGTTTGTATGGCTTTATCTCCGTTTGGATTATAGCTGTTTTTGGGAGTGTTTTTGAAATATTTTACTGTAACAATGTAGTTGAAAAATATTTACTGGAGATGAGGTTATTTTTAGGCTATTTTTTGTATTTTTGGTATTTTTAAGGTTGTTTTTAATGTTTTTAGTATTTTTGAAGTTATTTTTTATGTTTATGAGGTTGCTATTTTTGTGTTTTTGAGGTTATTTTTGTTTGTGTATTATTGTAACATTATAATTGAAAATTTTGTTTTTAAAAAAATCATCAATCCAAACAGATATTTTGCTAGAATGTAAGGATTATCATACTTTCGTTTAGGTAATGACAAGTTAGAAGCATTTTAAAATGGAATTGGGGCAAGAATTTTGACTTTGTACAATAATGCGATCGTATTTTTTGGGCAAATTATATTTTACCCCCTATAGTTTAATATTTTTACATAACCCTCCTATGATTTTAAAAACTATACATAACTCCTTTATAGTTTGGATTAAAGTGTCAAAGTAATGGACCTTGCAATTCATAATGGAGTCAACTAAAATATAAAAAAGCACCCCTACGTAAAGTTGAAAATTATTTATTAACTACAAAGGCTTATGTGTATATTTTGAAAACAAAAAAGGGGTTATATGGTAAAACATTAAATCATAAGGGGATTATATGATAAAATATAAAATCATACGGGGTTAGTGCGTCATGTATGTTATATTTATATATTTTGATCACTTCAGCCATTTTAATTTTTTAACAAAGGTAATTTTGACATTTTAAAAGGTTTTGTTACAATGATAATTTTCGTCACTTTGACACTTTAATCCAAATCATGAAAGGGTTATGTATAGATCTTGAAACTATAGAGGGATTATGTACAAAAATACTAAATCATAGGGAAAAAAATGTAATTTTTCCTTTTTTTTTCATGAGTTGTGTGTACGTTAATAGACGTGTAATTGTATGCATATATTCAATTATGTGCATGAACAAAATTTACGTGTACCACAAAGTAATATTAGTATGCACTAAATCATATAGAATATAAAACAACAGTACAACCGTATCGACACTTCAATTATACCTACCCCAAACCCTTGTAAAACATTAGAACCATCAGAACCGCACATGACCCATGCCATGGCAATGTTGTCAAAATCACGATCCTACGATTCGAATCTATAGGATCGATCCAGATCGTATGTGAAATCGGAAAATACCTCATTTTGCATGGGATTTGTAGAATCGTTTGTAGGATCGTACGATCCTACGATTCTATTGCGATTCTATGAAATTTTGCAAGTTTTAGAAAAATGAGGCTAAATTTTGTAATAAAATGCAAACATTTGGGACAAGCTTATAATTTACCAAAGAATTACAACCTTTAATTGCAATTATGTGACAATTTTTGTCTAAAGTAAAAAAAACACACTAAAGATTCTCACGGGTCATATGGCTTCGGGAATGGAAAAGGGCACCGAGAAAGACAAAGGGACTTTTCAATTTTCATTCTACCAAAACCAAATTGGGGCATTTAATTCGGCAGAGGTGAACTGGAGCAATTTCTTCCCCATCTCCACTTGAAGCTTCTTTTCCATCTTGATTTCAAACAAATTCGGGTGGAGCAATTCCTTCCCCATCTCCACTTGAAGCTTCTTTTCCATCTTGATTCCAAACAAATTCGGCAGAGGTGAGGTGAATTGCATTTAGTTATTTCGGCAGAGGTGAATTGGGCAGAGCCTCAGAGGTGAACTGGGCAGAGGTGAATTGCAGGCCGTCGGCAGAGGCCGCGGGCAGAGGTGAATTGCAGGCCGTCTCCATTGCTTCTCTCTCTCCGACCCCTTTTCCTCCTTACTCCTCCTGTGAGTTTTTTTATGAGCTTTGGAGTTTGGAGTTTGGACTGCTACCAACTTCCGTTCTAAGATATCAAGATTTGGCTTTGTATATCTCCTTATGTTTTTCTTCCATTTTGATGAACTTCCAAAAGGATTTATTTCTTCCTTGCTTGCTATCTATCGATCCTGTTGACTTGTTCCAGGGAGCTCAACCTTTAATTGCAACATTTTATTTCCTTGTGATTCTTTGTTGGTGTTATCATGAAACTAAGAAGCATTGGTTCAAATTATCTTGTGTTCAAATTATCATGAAACTAAGAAGCATTTTATTTCAAAGTTAGGCTGCTCTGGATTGGAATATAAATTATCTCGTGTTTCCATTTTTCATTTTTGTTTTAATATCAGAAACTAAAAAATGTTACGTTCTAGATTTTCACTAGATTTTCAGGTTGCTGGCCTTACGATACTCACTGTGGGATTAAGACTGATAAATTGCATTGAGTTCATTAATTTAGTAAATTTAGGAACATTTGGTGGGATCTTATGATTCTACAATCCGATCCTGTGAAGCTAAAATCGATCCTACGTAGTATCCCGATTTTACAAACCTTGTGCCATGGTAGTATGTGTTTGGAATTCATTCTGAAATCGAAATCTTTGACTTATAGGAAGCAATTCTCCCTTTTTTTTTTTAATTAGAGCTGATCAAAAGAATAATGAATCATCTACGTTTTGTACAAGCAACTTAACAAATCAGGAAAATCTCCCAGTTGGGGTCCTACAGAAACCTTGAACGCCTACATTCTGCAGGAAAGCGTCCGTTAACCCTTTTGGAGTCCTTGCAGTAGTCATAGATAATGAACTTAGATTGCACCCATCTCATTCTGTTTCGTCCCTTTGCATCAAGCCCTTGGGTTTCCCACGCTTGTGTATTGATAGAATGAGGGGTTTTGGAAGTACAAGATGAACCTGCTGATGCTGACCATACACAAGCATCAGCATTGAAGTTCCTATAAAAGGCTAAAAAAGGCGCTAGTGTCCAATCTGTCTTGATCTGTCCACCTTGTGTTGCCCAATCATCTGCATTCCACAAGCTGCAGTAAACCTTCATTGGTTGATTCTTTGGAAATGGAATGCCAGATCCTTCATTGTTGTTGAATGCTCTGATGGGGCTACCATCTACCAAGAAACTGTAAACGCACCATAGATATGCAAATATGTTAGAAATTGAGGCAATGATTTTCCATTTTTTGCTTGTTAGAAATAGAAATCATTTAAGGAGTTTGTAACTTACATAATCCTCTGAGGGTTCCAAACTATGGAATAAGTGTGGAAGGCTGCAGTTGGATCGAACTGTTGACTTTTGGCGACATTTCTTATCCCACATCGGTGGGATTAGCTTTTGGGGAGGGGCTTGAGAGTTATAAATTAACTCTCTCCCTTCCCAATTCAAACACACCAAAATTTTGTATTCTTTCTTCTCCCAAATTATTAAGAGCGGGTCACTTAGGCGGTGTCCGGAGATTAGGCAAAATTGGCCGAACTCCGTTATCAATTTTCGGGTGCTTTCTTTCCTTATCTCTTTTATTTATTCTGCATTTATTTAGTAGTTTCTTTTCAATTGTAGTATAGTATTCAATATATTTGTTGGGTTTATTTGTAGCGTTTTATACGGTTCTTTTGGGTGTATTTTGCTTATTCGTGTGTACGTATTGTTTATGTATACACGGGTCTGATTGTGATAATACACCGTGCACGTAAATTCTGCCATAAGAGACTGGGTTTTAAGTGGGACCGCTTGTAACCCCTCCAGCCTTTCCTGGGAATTTACTTGGAATAGTAATTCTGTCTTAGGAGATTGTTTTAACAATCTTTCCTGAGAATTACTGAATTGGTTTAAATCACTAGTTGAATTTTTGAGTGGAAAATTACCCGGTTTCCCCAACATGAACCACAAACGGAATTGTTGTTCCCTATTTCCTTTTCCTTGTGCATAAACATTGGTATGAAGTGTACATGGCTGGCCAGATGCATTTCCTAGGAACTCGAAATCAATCTCATCGTGCCTTTCGCCTTGAGAAGATAACTGCATTGATGCAAAAAAAAAAAGTTAATTTTGTCCGTGAAGGCTAAAGAGGTAGCAAAAACTCAGATTTTGTGCCTATGAAGTTGGAATACAAAAGGGAGAGCTCTTTTGAAACTCACAGAATGTGGTAACTGTGCCAGCTGAATTGCCAGGTACAAATTTGATTTGCATGTAAAATCTACCAAAGAGATAGTCATTTGTGGATTCAAAGCCAGAACCAGATAATTTGTCTAGCGAGAGTGTGAGAAGCTGGCCTAACTTCTCTGGCCTGACTTATCTATCTTAGCTCTTCCGTCTCCAAAATTGATCTTGACATCCCGGTAAAAGTTACCGGCTGCTGAGGCTTCCAAGATCAGGCAAGCCATTAGTAGGCAAAGCTTAAGCGCTCTTGAAGATGGCATTTTTAGAGCTTAATTTTGAGGACTAAAGATGAAATGGATTAGTAAATATTATGCAATGTGATGAAATACTGATGCTTTGGGGGTTTTGGTAGGAATGCATTTATAGAGGTGTGATTTAGAAGAATGGATCGCTGACTTTCACATTTAGGAAGTATCCAAGAGGGAGGGGAGACAAGTTTATGAGTTGGCAATAATAGTTTAGTAAGAATATGTAATGACAGAGTGTGCAGTTGATCGGTATTCAGAAAGGCTCAAAATCTGTTTTGGTACTTTACATTTCGAAGTAGCTAAGCTATGTGCAAACTGGACACAGCTATGGAATACCTGGAATTTTTGAGTTCTTTATTGCTCTTTCAGAACTCAGAAGTACACGAGCAAGTTTTGTGAAATCTGAAGGCTGGAAGTTCCCTAATCCAAGAAGGGCATTTTTTAATACAGAACATGTTACTTTGAGTAAGACTTATCCATTGTACACTTGGTTGTCTACACTTTTTGCGGACAGAGTCCCCTCAAGTTAGTTATTAGGAGCTTTAACGGTTGCCTTTTCTAACTCTGTGGGTAATATATAAATATCACTGTCAACAACATCTCACTCATAACAAGATAATAATATGAGGGAAAGGAAAGGAAATCCATGGAGGGATAAGGTTTTTATTTGGATTGATTTTTGAAAGGAGAAAGAAAAAGACGGACGAATGTGGGACTTGTTCTATTTTTTTTTTCTTGGCAGATTCAAAAGTGGAAGGAATCGCAGGAAATGGATATAAAGGTTAATGATAATTATGTTACAATTTTCTAAAATATCCTTACTATTGGCAAACTAAATCAAGTCTAGAAGTATTTATTTATTAGTTTTATTGGAGTTAGATTTTTAGTAGTTGTGTGATTTAGGAATTTGTGTTTTATTTAGTAATTTTTTATGCAAGTGGCTTCTTTTCTAACAAATCTGGTAAATTATAAATAGAATATTATTTATGATGTTTTCTTGAGTGAGTCTATAAAAATTTGCTGAGTTTTCTATTGTGGTGTAATTTTCTTCATTGTTTATGACTTCAATAATATTATGAGTTGATTATTTTCTTCTTTCCCACATATATTTTGAGTATTTGCTTTATCCCTTCAATTCTGTAACCCTGCATGCATTGATTATTATTATTAGAACTCTAAAATTTGGATTCTACAATCAGTATCAGAGCTAGACTATGAGATTATTCCTGGACATTTTCACTGTCAGAGAATTAGAATACAAAAATTGCTGAAAAGTATTCAGTTAATTGAGTTAGACCACAAATTGATCCTGAAGTGTGTAGTTGGTGAAGAATTCGACCATAAAATTGGTCTAAAAATTGTTAGATTGTTACGGGTGTGAAGACAGATCGGAGAGGAATCCTGTCAGATTTGTTGATTGCTACAGGTTGTTAGATTGAAGGATTTGATTGGTTAATCGACTAGGAGCCTAGGAAAACTTGACAGAGGGGAGAGGAAAATTTAATCAGGTATATAAATTGTTAAATAATGGCAAAAAATTATAGAGATTTGATTGATAGTGAAAAATTTTTCATATTGACTCTTATAAGCACAAATAGACAAATATTTTGGTTGGGTTTTAACAGTGAAAAAATATCTCAAACAGTGTAATTTAGATGATATTCTTTATTGGGTTGATGCAAGTGAGTTGTCAAAACATGTTTTCAGAAGAAGGCACAATTATTCTTTCAAGTGATACGTAAAACAATGGTAGAAAGTATTTTCAAAATTTTTGTTTGCTGTACTAAAATACTTTGGAGATTTTGGAAGGACATTTACTATGTTTTGCAAATAATTGAGAAAAATTATGCTTTCAAACCGAAGTCTGGTTGTTTGTATTGGTTTGTGGATTTTGAGAATGATAGATTTGTTGATGATATGAATGATATTGAAAATTTTGAATTAGTTGATAGTTTTGATTTGCATACCTTATTTGGAGAAATTGGGAGTGATGAATTTGTTAAAGAAAAACAATGTGGTAATTTGATAACGAAAACAAAAAAAGTCTGATTTGGTGTATAAAGAAAAAATAATTGTTAAAAATTTATTGGTTCTGACTCTCTTCAAGATGATGGAAAGATATTTGATTTGATGGATACGGATTTCATTGGAGTTCAAAAATATTTTGCTCCAAAAGAGTTGATTGACAGTATGAAAATTTTGGGTGATTGTGGTAGTGGTTATTTTGAATTATTTGGTGAGTGTAGTTTTGGCAAGAAAGCAATCTATGATTTTGTATTTTTTGGGCACTTACATTGGTGGTAAATATGGTGATTCTAGTGATGAATGGGTTTCTATGAGTAAGTACTTTGATTAAAAAGAAATTGCTGAGAAATTATTTGCAAAATACAAAGGGCGTCCACTATCACGTGTAAAGATGAAACTAATAACTGGTAACAAGATGGAGTTGCATGTTTGCATAGAGATTGTTGTTCGAGATGGTGTTTGATGTGTCTCAATGGAGAGTTTGGTTAAAGGGAGGTAACGTTGCCAAACTAAACCAAGTAAAGAAGTATTTATTTATTTATTAGTTGTATTGGAATGAGGTTTTTAGTAATTGTGTGATTTAGGAATTTGTGTTTTATTTGGTAATTTATTATGCAAGTGGTTTCTTTCCTAACAAGTCTGGTAGTTTATAAATAGAATATTATTTAGGATGTTTTCTTGAAAAAGTCTAGAAGAGTTTGTCAAATTTTCTATTGTAGTTTGACTTTTTTCATTATTTGAGATTTCATTGATAGTTTGAGTTGATTATTATCTTCTTTCCCACATATTTTGAGTGTTTGTTTTATCTCTTCAAATTTATAACTCTGCACATATTGTTTATTATTAGAACCCCAAAATTTGGGTCTACAATTACGCTGTACCATTTTTATCCATGATGTAATTTATCTTCAATACAATCTCCAAACCATCCTATCACCTAAGACCTACTTTCTTTCTTTTTTGGAAAAATTTGTTCAAAATGTTCCTCACGTTTTGCAAGATGATTTTTTTCATCTGTCACTTTTAAAAGTGTAATTTTATGTTTTTCTTATAAATTCACATTAGTCAAATTTGGTCCATATCTAAAGTTTCGACTAGTTTTCGTCGAAATCCACCATGTGCCTTGCACGTCATCATTTTGAGTGGTAAAATTGTCAAATCACATTTCACATAATCTAATCCATAGTCCGTCACATCTTACAAAATAAATTTTTTAGTTCCTCATATTTTATAAAATGAACTTTTTCATCCATTATTGATCATGTATACGAATAATTTTTTTTTTGAACATATGTATGTCTACTTAATTTCACCTGATCAGTACAAATAGCATGTAATATATTTCTATTCGATTTCACCTACAACTACAATTAGCTTATTTAAGTGGAATTAAATATAGATATATTACATGTTATTTATACTATTCAGGTGGCCATTTTTACAAGCAAAAGTCGATTTGCATCAGTACAGCAGTACTTAATCCAAGAACAGAGGGCCTCATTCCGATGAAAGAAATCTAGCCTCTGGATCACTTCAGCTTCTTCACCCCTTGGACTTGAGAGTCATCACGGAGAAATGGACAGCCGCAACGTCGTCGTTTGCGACAATGGCACTGGTTATGTCAAGTGTGGCTTTGCAGGTGAGAATTTTCCCACATCAGTATTCCCCTGCGTTCTTGGAAGGCCAATGCTAAGATATGAAGAATCTCTCATGGAACAAGAAGTCAAGGACATTGTTGTTGGAGATGCTTGTTTGAAACTGAGACATCAGCTGGATATTTCCTATCCTGTCAACAATGGGATTGTGCAAAATTGGGATGATATGGGCCATGTATGGGATCATGCCTTTTTTAATGAACTGAAGGTAGACCCAACAGAGTGTAAGATCTTGCTCACGGATCCCCCTTTAAACCCATCCAAGAATCGTGAAAAGATGGTTGAGACCATGTTTGAGAAGTACAACTTCACTGGTGTCTTCATACAAGTTCAAGCTGTTTTAACATTGTATGCTCAAGGTTTGCTTACAGGATTAGTTATTGACTCTGGTGACGGTGTTACGCATGTGGTTCCAGTTGTGGATGGATACTCATTCCCTCATCTCACAAAAAGAATGAATGTGGCTGGACGCCATATTACATCATATCTCGTAGATTTGCTTCAACGGAGAGGGTATGCAATGAATAGAAGTGCTGACTTTGAGACAGTTAGGGATATTAAAGAGAAATTATGCTACATAAGTTATGATTATAAAAGGGAATATCAATTGGGACTTGAGACAACCATCCTTGTTAAGAATTATACACTACCTGATGGAAGGTTGATTAAAGTTGGGACTGAGAGATTCCAGGCATCTGAGGCTCTTTTCACTCCGGAACTGATTGACGTTGAAGGTGATGGAATGGCGGACATGGTGTTTCGTTGCATTCAGGAAATGGATATTGACAACCGCATGATGCTATACCAGCATATTGTTTTGAGTGGAGGAAGTACAATGTATCCTGGGTTACCGAGTCGCTTGGAGAAAGAAATTTTAGATCGCTATCTTGATGTTGTTTTGAAGGGAAACAAAGATGGATTAAAGAAACTGCGGTTGCGGATAGAGGATCCACCACGAAGAAAGCACATGGTATACCTCGGAGGAGCAGTTCTTGCAGGAATTATGAAGGATGCACCTGAGTTTTGGATTACCAGGCAAGATTATTTAGAAGAGGGAGTTGCGTGTTTAAGCAAGTGTGGCCAGGCATGAGTTCATCTGGCAGAAGTTGTAAAAGGCAGAAGATCTGGAACAGGGTTGCAGTTGGAATTGAAAGGGGTGGATGTATCACTTGGGTGGCACAGACGAGCTTCATTTTTGTTTCCTCGAGGACTTCATTACTTCGCTTGCCTACAAAACAGTGGTCTTGTACTACCATTGAATTTGTTGCCTGTACCATATAGTTCCTACGCTTATAGATGTGTAGTGTAAGTTTTGTGAAGAAAAAAAAAAATACTATTCAGGTGAAATCAAATAGACATATACATAGGTTTTCAAAAACAAGAAAAAATTATTCATACACATGATTAATGAGGGATGAAAAAATTCATTTTATGAATTGTGAGGGATGAAAAATTTATTTTATGAAATGTGAGGGACTATGGATAGGTTTATGTGAAATACGATTTGACAATTTTGCCCCTAAAAAATGATCACCTGCAAGGCATGTAGTGGATTTCGGCCAAACACTAGTCGAAAATTAAATTTGACCAATATAAATTTGTAAGAAATGTAAAATTATACTTTTAAAAATGATGGACGAAAAATATTATTTTATAAAATGTGAGGGATATTTTGAACAATTTTTCCTTCTTTTTTTTTTATTTTTTTTTAACTATTGTCTGAAACTTGTGAATGTCAATGATTTTATTAATGCAAGCTATTATTTGAAGACTTCAATCTTCTATTGACATGTTAATAACAAGAAGAACTATAAAAATTAATCAAAGCTAAATGTAAAGAGGGGAATGATAATAACATTTTCAAGGAAAAAGTCAGGCATAGAGGGAGTGGGGGTAGAGAATTCAAGGAAGGTAGCAAATTAAGGAGTAAGAATAAATTTCTAGGGTAAATTACTAATAACCTATGATTTCATTTGTTACCACATACAAATGTTTCAAAATATTCACTTCACCTCTCTATGATTTCATATAAACTAGAAATTTAAGAGAAAATAGTCTATATAACGTAATTAGTTGAAATATCAACAGTGGCTTACTTTAATGCTAACTATGTGTGGATAAATACAAAAATCACAGGAGGCAAAAGTGAGTAGGGGATGGGGAGGTTAAGTGGATGTTATAATTTCATCATATGTACTTTTAGAGCGTGTGTGTTCTAATCGCCATAACTAATTATATATTCCGTTCATTTTTCACTTTACGTAAAATCACAGGAGGCTTGTGTGACTATTTTGAAATCTTAGGAAGGTCATCTAACTTTATGCAAAATCATAGAGGGGTTATGCATAATTTATCCAAATTTCTATGAAATATTATAGATAAAATTGTAATATTTCAAAAGGTTGTTACCCCCTCCTCCCTGCCACTAATAATAAATAGGGCACATGTCGCCTTCGTGCATGTATAAATGCCCCTTACCAACGTACAACAAGGTAACTCACCCCTTCCAAACTCTCTCTCTAAGAGACCGCGCACTGATTAAGCATTGGAGTGGTTCGTGTTCGACCTTATTTCCTCCTTTGTTTCCTTATTCTACGCAAGTTTTGTGTCACAGCTAGACTTTGAACTATCGACCTTCAAAAATTGGCACCGTCTGTATGAAATTGATACAAAAGGAGGCTTGTTTCCATTTCTCCGAGGGAAGTAACGCTAGTAACCATGAAATCTTGCGCTGAAATAGCTATTGCACGCCGGACAAACAAAAAATCCATCCGAGATCGACTGGCGCAATCTCTTGAACAAAATCACTAGAGGAAAGAGTGTGAGCAAATCACAGATGAAGAAAAATTACACTTTCTGTTGGCCCATTTTGATAAATTTCACACATTTGTTCAAAATGACGAGCAACAACTTTAAAAGAAAGGCACTACATCGGTAGAGAACAAAATTCTTTGCCAGATACCCAAGAAAGCTTTGAGTATATAAATGTCTTGGCAGAAATTTAGTCATCACTTGCCATGTATTTGTTTTCATAGTACTACAATTAAGAACGAAAGGCTTTCATAAATATATGATAGTATTTCACTTATTATTGCACAGGCGTGCTAATAGGCATATATAGCCTGCTTTCAGCAAGAGATATACTATTTAATCATATGATTGATGCCTAGAATTTTCTTCCCAAACAGGGAATATATATATAGTAGCCCCATGCCATCAACCAGAAAACCACAACAAACAGAAACACAATACAAGGCAAACCATTCAGTACGTGAAGGTTTGTTTTCTTAGCACAATACTCCGTAATTTCACTTGCAGTTACCCTTACAAATGCCTGTTAGAGGAAATAATAAAAAAACAGGCTGATACACTATAAGAGTAAATACAACCTAGAAAGAAAGAAATAATCGAAAATAACAATAATAATAATCCGAGACTTGTGAACACAATTTCCTTAAAACAGATTCGCCCCCTCCAGGTAGAGTGCTCGAAGTTAAGTAGGCGTCTGTCTCCCTGGATACAACGGATTAAAGGTGAATATGTCAGCACCAAACTTTCTTCACCACAGCGAACTCGAACTAGAGTAATATGGAACACTATAAAAGATGAAGATGCAAGAAGAAAAAAGAGAGAGAGAGCGCGCTTGCTTTTGAAACAAAAGGAGATATTTATAGATGCTGGCCAAGGGTGACTGTTAGAAATTGACAACAAGTGTTAAATTCCAGATAATTATCTTCACATTTATCAAAGGACCACATTCATGTACATACATGTATCTCAATAAGATAACTCCAAAATCATGTATTAGGTACATGTACTCTATCCAAAATCATGTATCAATAATTAATACACATGAATCCTATCCAAAATCATGTATCAATAATTAATACACATGAATCCTATCCAAAATCATGTATCAATAATTAATATACATGAATCCTATGTACATGAATGATAGATAATTATCCTTGGATTCTTTCAAGAGTGTCATTATGAGAACAAATTTTCTCATTCACTCTACAATGGATATAGCCATTTTTCCCACAATCCCCCACATGAATGGAAAAATTGTTTTGATCTGACTCTACAGTAGTGTTCCACGACTGAAACCTGCATAAGATAGGTTGGTGTTACCCTTTGAACCTTCTCTTGTGAAATACACTTACTTTACTAGTAATCCAGTAGACATGATGTCTTTGAACTGTCCCGTTTTTTAGTGTAAATGAACCATATATTTCACACAGGAATCATGCTCCATTTGTTCAGTTCTCATAGTTATGTTCGTTTTGGCCATGAACATCAACCTGGTTCAGCAAGAGTTTTTTAAGAATTGAGCCCTAAACAATTCTCATTTGAAGCGGCCCCACTTCACTCTCACATAGGTGATTTACTTAAGTCTTCAGTAATTAATTACTTCACTTAAGAATCATTAAAGAACACCATTGTGCTATCCTTAATTCTCCTTTGCGTCATTGTTTCATTATGGAATGGGTCTAGGGATATCCTCCCACAATGACTATGCTAAGTCCTTATAATTAGGTTGTCCCTTTGAACCTAGATCTTGGGATCTCCAGTCAGCTAAGTTGGGTTTCCTTTATAACACTTAGCCTTCCATGGGCTTTAGTCCCATTCCCTTTGCCAGTTTTGCAACCAACTCTCTATTCAATCCTTTGGTTAGCGGATCCGCTATGTTATCCTTTGATTTCATATAATCAATAGAGATAACTCCTGTTGAGAGTAGTTGTCTGATGGTATTATGCCTACGACGTATATGTCTAGACTTACCATTATATATGTTATTTTGTGCTCTTCCAATTGCTGATTGACTATCACAGTGAATACATATTGGTGGCACATGTTTTTCCCATTTTGGAATGTCTTCAAGGAAATGGTGGAGCCATTCAGCTTCTTCTCCACATTTGTCCAAGGCAATGAATTCAGATTCCATTGTAGATCTAGTTACAATAGTTTGTTTAGAAGACTTCCAAGATACTGCCCACCGGCAAGTATGAACACATACCCACTTGTGGTCTTTGAATCTTTTATATCAGATATCCAATTTGCATCAGCATACCCTTCTAAAACAGTAGGGTATCTAGTGTAATGCAGTCCATAGTTCCGAGTGTACCGTAGGTATTTGAGTACCCTTAAAATTGCTTTCCAATGATCAGCACTCGGGTTGCTTGTAAACCTGCTCAATTTGCTCACTGCATATGCAATGTCAGGTCTAGTACAACTCATTAAATACATTAGACTTCTAATGATTCGTGAGTATTCTACTTGAGAAATACTCTCTCCTCTATTCTTAGATAGATGGAAACTATTGTCTAATGGAGTTCTTGCAATTCCAGAATTATTCTTATTGAATTTTTCTAGAATCTTGTCCACATAATGAGTTTGGCTCAAGACCAAGCCGTCTGGTATTCTTGTAATTTTAACTCCTAAAATTACATCAGCGAGCCCCATATCTTTCATGTCAAATTTTGAATTCAACATGTTCTTTGTAGACTTGACCATTTTGTCATTACTACCAACAATAAGTATGTCATCTACATAAAGACATAAGATGACATAGCCAAGTTCTGTTTCTTTAGTGTAGACACATTTGTCACACTCATTTATTTTGTATCCATTAGTTATCATTGCATTGTCGAACTTTTCATGCCATTTCTTTGGCGCTTGGTTTAGTCCATACAATGATTTTACTAATTTACAAACTTTATTTCCTGTTCCCGGAGTTATGAAACCCTCAGGTTGCTCCATGTAGATTTCTTCATCTAAATCACCATTTAAGAAAGCTGTCTTTACATCCATTTGATGTATCTCCAGATTTCTCAATGCAGCGATAGCAAGAATCATTCTGATAGAATTTATTCTCGTAACAGGAGAATAAGTGTCAAAATAATCCAAACCTTCTTGTTGCTTGTATCCTTTGATTACAAGTCTGGCTTTGTACTTATCGACAGAGCCATCAGATTTCATTTTCCTTTTAAAGATCCATTTGGACCCTAAAGGTTTACAACCAGGAGGAAGATCCACTAACTCCCATGTATGATTCTGTAAGATAGAATCAACCTCACTTTTTATTGCTTCTTTCCACAAAAATCCTTCAGAAGAACTTACAGCTTCTGTATAGGTTTGTGGTTCCTTTTCTAATAGAAAAGTTGTAAAATCATCTCCAAATGATTTTTTCACTCTAGCCCTTTTGCTACGTCTCGGTTCATCTTGTTGAATCAAGTCATGATCATGATTTTCTTGATTCATAACTTCATGTGTTCGTTTTGATGAACTTGATGCAGCATTCGATTTACAAGGAAACACATCTTCAAAGAATGAAGCATTCCTTGATTCCATTATTGTATTTTTGTGTATATCTGA